TGTTACTGCAGCAACTACAGAAGCAATCCCATATATGCGCATGTTTCAGGATGCAGGGCAAGCCACCTTGAAAGAATGTCTAAGCATGAGGATTCCAAAATTGCCCAAGGAGGCAAACCCACCCTTGGAGGGGAAGCCCAAAATTGAGTACAAATCGGGAGAAAAACTGATGATATGGAGCAAGTTCAGTGAGACTACCCTCTTTAACCATAAGTTTCAAAGATATTTGTAATCAAAAGGAACCTCATAAACATTGGCAAAACAAGACTAAGTCAGCTAACTGTTGGTGCTGTGATACAGCTAATGCAGGGGTCCTCAAACTTTTTAAACAGGGGGCCAGTTCACTGTCCCTCAGACTGTTGGGGCGGCAGACTATAGTTTGAAAAAAATTGCTAAAGAAAGCACCAAAGAAAAACGAAAGTGACCCCCCCCCCACCTCATTTCTCAACACGGAAGTGTGGAGAGGAAAATTTCACAAGAGCCTCAGGCTGGCCAGCAGACAGAGGGGAAAAAGCAGACCGGTTTAAATGAACAATGCAAGCAGGGGAATGCTTAGAGGGACTTAAAAATGGATTTTAAAAATTATATTTTTCTTACCTTCAATCCTTTTTCAAACATCTACGTCTCTCTCTCCCCCTCCTGCCCTTCTTGGGGGAGAGGGAGAGAAAGAGAGGGAGAGAGAAAGAGAGAGACTCCATATTTCCAGCTCTGTATATGCATGCAATGGGGGGGGGGGCGAGCCGGCGCACACACACAGTTGAGCTTTTACAATTGGGCACATGTGCCAGCTCTCTGCTCAGTTTCAAAGAATGCCTGCACTGGCTCAGAGCTTTTGGACTCGCTTGGAGATCCTTTTCTCCGAGCAAGTCCAAAACCTCTGAGGCGGGCTGGATAAATGAGCATGGCAGGACGAATCCAGCCCATGGGCCATAGTTTGAGGACCCATGAGCTAATGTTTCTCCCCCCGCCCCCACATATGTTTTGACAAGGCCGTATAACCACCTTCTTTTGTAAAGAAGTTGGATAAATTATGTATTGAAAAATTCTTTAATATTTATGGGTCTACATGTTTAGCTTTCTACTCACTTCTTCAAATCTAGTATAAGGACAAAGTAGATAGATTTTCTGCACCCTTATGACAACAAGCAACTGCCATTGTAACACTGCAAGGATAAATGGCCATCCACATTAATGCCATATAATGAAGACTATTGACTCTTTCAGCCTTTGAATAGGTGGTGTTTGGTATCACCAAGACGTGGATAAATATAGAAATATATGGCTTGCCTTTGTTGAAACATATGCATAATTATTATTACTGACAGAAGTCTATTTCCACACACACTCTCACACATTCTCTCTCTCTCTCTCTCTCTCTCTCTCTCTCTCTCTCTCTCTCTCACACACACACACACACACACACATGCGCGTGCATATAAATTCCATATGTATTGATTGGCCCTGATACACTTAACCTGTATTCAACATACATTTGTTTTATGTTCTTTGGCATTTTTTGGTTTCGCTATCAATTTTTAAAATTCACAATAAAAATGCATTAGGACAAATTCAAAGAAAGGAGGATTTGCATGGGAGAAATGTTCCACAGCTACTCCCAGAAAAGTAGCATTGTGGGGTGCAAGGGGGCCCCCAGAAGGAAGAATTCAGGGCCATGCAGTGCTGCCTTGCACCTTCTTCACATGTCTCTGCAGGCCTCTGATTCCCTGCAGAGGATTTTGGGGGAGAGCAGGGAGAAAGGAAACGATGGGGAAGTGATTACTTCATGAACTTTAAGTTAGGTCTGAGCCAATAAGCAATTTAAAAACCCCCATAGTTTTCATTTCTATATCAACCAAACAGCCAAAGCTCTCTGGGTAGCTTGCACAATTTTTTTCAATAAAATATGTGTATAATATCAATCTCAGCATCCTGAGAGAAGGAAGTCCTAACCTGGCATTGAGAAGTTAACAGTGTTGGTACCAGGAGGGCCTCACTGGAGAAAGCATTCCATATTTATTTATTTATTCATTTAAAGTTTTTAAATGCCATCCCAATACTAAAAGTCACTGGACAGCTTACAAAAAACAAAAAACAAAGCAAACCATAACAACAACACACTGCATTCAATAAATAATGATAAAAACAAGGATAAAACCAATTAACTGTTGAAATATTGGGAAAATAAAAAGGTCTTCGCCTGATGCTGGGAGACATGCTCCATCCTGAGCCATGTAAATTTTTAGAAGACCAATCCAGAACCTTGAATCACCCATAAAAACAACACCTTGAATCAGGATCACCAGCACCAAAGATACTGCCAGTGGTAAGCACCTGCAGGTCATAATTCTGTAACAATAGATTAGATCCATGTTCTTCATCCACTATGCCCATATTATATTATGCAACCACAGGGGTGCTTCACATGGATGCCACAATTTCGTAGGTCCTCCTGTTGTGCATCCATTACCCATATCACACATTGCAAGTATGCTACAGTGGGCTCCCTGCCCACCCATCATTTGTCATGAGACCAGGATTTTCTGTCAAGGTCTGGATAGGAATCAGGTCTCCCAAATGGATAATTATGGCATTCTAGCACTTTTCAGAGAATGCTACAGCCTCTGAACATGCACTGCATTGGACAGAAGAGATCACAGGATTCAAATCATTATATTGCAACAACAGGAAAGAATGTCATTGTACCCCGCAAAAGCAGACAACACAAAAGAACCAAGGTAGAGGGTTATGGTGACCATATTCATCCCGTGTCTTTCTGCATAATTATTCACACAATAAGTGTAATTCACATGTTAATGTCAGTTCTAGGAAGTAATCATCCCAGAATCCATAAGAACTAGTCTGAATGCCAGTAGGCATGTCCTTTTAATACAAGGACAAAGGAATTAGACCAAGGTACAGATGTTTCCAAACCCAGGATTTCTGAGATTTCAGATGCAGCTTTTCACACAAACGCTTTCTAGCATTTCCCCCCACCCTATTTATAATTATCACAAGATTGTATGAACAGGAGTGTCATCCAGTGTGGTTTTAATTTCTGCAACATAACCCACTGTTTAAAAACGCTGCAGGTGCTGTCACTTTTAATTGTCCTTTCAGAGCACAAGGAGAGTGTTTTCTTAACTGCATAATTAGACTCATCTCCCTCAATTGGGGATAACAAAATGGTACCCAGAGCCAATAAATGGCAGGTTGCATTCTGAAAGGCCAAAGGCCACTTAAGCATTTAACAGATTATTATTTTTTCAATACAACAGACAGAAAATTAAAACTCACACAAACACAGAACACAAAGACCCAAAAGCTTTCATGCAATGGCATAGGGATTAGAAGCAACTGCTGTAGCAAGGGACTTAGCAGTCTTCACTCATTTACAACATCCAAGTAAAGTGATCCAGATCCTATACAGAGCTGATGACATGCCTTCATTTCTTCATGCAACAACTGTATGTAGATTTATCAAAAAGCAACAAACAACATTTATTCTCCTTTCTCCTCTGCCACCTTCTCCCCATCCTTCTAGTGCTGGGAGAAACATATGTACAGCTAAGAACTATTTATATCTGTATTCATGTACACAACATAATCATTTGATCAAATGTACTCCACAAAAGCTTATAATGAAAGAAATTTGTTGTTGTAGTGTAATTAATTTTATATATTCATCAGGAGAAAGCCAATTTTAGTTCACCTTATATCCACCACTCTTTTATCTGGCAGAGACAACTCAAGTAAGAAGCACGACTGGATATTTTCTATGTTACAGCCTTATCTGTAAACTGTACATTCATCTGCCTTTTCATGGCCCATAAAAATGGGAAAAAATTGCTATAGCTTTTACCAGTGCAAGTCTAGCTATATCTACCGAGATGTAAGTGCCACTGGGACTCAGCCTACAGGCTAAGTTATTCTAGAAACTCCAAAAAGTATTACCATATGGTAATGCCTTAGTAGAGTTTTGACAAGAAACTTGGAGTTCAATCCTATGGTACCTAGAGGAGAGTCTTAGGGCCCATAGGATGTGGTGGAACTCTCCCTTCAAGGCTGGAAATGGTGTGCTGTTTCTGAAGGAGAAGATCTGGCTGCAGATCCTGATCCCCAACCCTTCCAAGCCACCAGAGACACCCATCCTTCCCAAATCAGATCACAAATGGCCTCCTCTTTCCCCGGCACATGTACAAAGATGTCTTCTCAGCTGTGCAGCTCCCTCCAGGAGTTCCACCTCGCTTTTTGTTTATGAGATGGTTTTTAGTGGTTTGACAATTGGTGGCATTAAAAGTAATATTTGCTTGTTTTTAAAGTTGCTGGAATTCTACAGATTATCCTCTGTGAGGGTTATAATTTTATAAAGCTCCATATGCAGCAGAGTTTCCTGCTTTCTTTAAAGGAAAGAAAATTCTTGTGCTGATGTAGACCTGCCTTTTGTGCAGGGAGAGTCTAGAGAATGCTCACAGGAGAAAATTCTGATGCTTGCATCGCACACAAGCACAACACAGATAGCATTGTTTACCAAATTTTAAGTGGTTATTTTATCCTTTTATTTTGAACATAAGAAATGCATTCAAGATAAGATGAAGTGGAATATAAAAATTAAAATGGCATCTGCATACTATCTTCCACTTTGCCTTTGCCAATGTTCATATCATTTAGAAACATCAGTACATATGCAGCACTAAGCTGTGATTCTGCAAGAGCAAATGCAGTTGAAATCCTCTTCCCAACCTCACCACAGGAGGAGAGTAGATGTTGTTTGTTCCTTTTCCCCCAGTATAATGGAGGAAGGCTTTATATGCCCTCCCCTTATGCAGCTGAATTTTTACCACCTATGATTAACCAAGATGCAGCTAACTGCAGCATATCTGGCTAAAAGACGACTTGTGCCAAAGCTTCTATTGGGAGTACTGGGAAAGCTTTTTAGGGTTCGCTTTGGCATTCATAGTCTCCACTCATTATTCAGTTGCAATATGTGGTGTAAATTGTGTTGTTTTAAGGTGTTATGGTTTTTATTATGGTTTCATTGTGTTTCTCTCTTGTGGTTGTGAGCCTCTCAGAGGTGCTATGGCACAACTGGGCGGCATACAAATGTTTTAAATAATAATCATAATAATAATAACTTGGGAACAGCCTCTTAAAAATCCCTTTGCCTGTACATATTCTCATGTGAGGGTGAATCTGTTAATTAATGTTGCTGGCCCCCAGGCCATGTTCAGTTCCATGTTCATCATGTTGTCCAAAGAGGGAGAACATAACTCACAATGGTGATGTTCATATGATTGGGAAGGAAAAGGAGCCAAGGTAGTTTTTTCTTCCCATCCTGCATGTTCCATTTGTGCTCATTTCCATATGGACCTCCACTGTGCACAGGTTGCTATGTCATTCAAATTCCCCCTGTCAAGGGGGGAACTTCCAGACTATCATGCAGCACATGGCTTGTTCAAGGACTCAAATTCCATACTGCTTTTGGTTCAAATCAAAAGCACAAAGTCTCTCAGCTAATTCTGCTACTTTCTAGTTCATTTTCTTTTCTTTTTTTCAAATTTAGTGGTGAATTATTGACACGTTATTTGAAGCAAGGGGTATGGTTTGAAGTCAGATGATGGAGTAATGCTGCTGAAAGGAGGAAGGTCTGCATCTTAGCTGTGGCAGGATGGGAGAGCGTATTTGCTGACTTCTGTTCATAATGGAAGAAAGGGAGGATAAAAATGTTAAAAGTCAGTGAATCAGGGAAATTCAGCAAATATATGTTTAGGTAACCAAACCCTAAGAAGGGGCAGAAGAGCTACTAAAATGAATGGGAGGGAGCATGTTCAGAGGGAGAGCAAATGTGGCATATGGAAGGTCCTATGTTCAATCCTGAACTCCCGCAGTTGACTAAAGTAGGTGGCGGCAGGTGATGAGAAAACCTCTACCCATGGCCCTGGAGAGCTGCTGCCAATCCAGATGGACTGTACTGGATAAGGCACTTCCCTCTGTTCATAGGGATTAAGGAAGCAGAAAGCTCCCCAACCCTGTAGATTTCAAAGATGTCTCTCTGTGCCGAGACACTGGCCAATCTCAAGTTAATAATTAAGTCTAATGTCTACATTGCAGGTATTGCATGCTTGCTGCTCCAAAATTGCTTTTCTATGGCCAGGTTTTTACACTGCATGAATCTGTATAGAAGTACCAGTGGTGCGAGTCATCCTGATCACCATTACCAGCATCACATCATTACTGAGACTCCTGATGCACATCTGGGTAGGACCCAGCCATCCTGTGCAATTGGCATTTCGTAGGTTATCAACGCAACATTCCACCCAGCCATGCAAAAGCGGACCTAAGAGGCACCCTATAACCCTTTTATTCCATCCCAGTAGGATCAATAAGTCTGAAAGACCACAGCTAAAGTACTTTAACACTATTATTCCCCAAATCATGATTTCTTCCTTATCTCATCCTAACTCCAAAGAGATAGGACCCATTTTATAGCAACTTCACAGTTGATTTATTAAAGCTTTCAACTATGAATATTAAATCTATTATCTATTCTTCCATTGTTTCCAATTCCAAATATACCACTTCTCACAAAATTAAACCTTTTGTATTAAGATAATGGTTTTGATGTAGGGTAGAAAACAATAATTGCTACTCTTCAAATTTTAATAGAAAGAAGATACTGAACGGTTATGAATTGCTTGCAAATTGGACTTTGCAGCTCTGTTTCCCTGGAATGCCTTGGTTACCCAGCAGCAAAGTTCATGAGACAAAGCGATCCACTCTAGCCATTCGCCCCTATCCTTCACTGCCTTATGCAGCCAAAAGTCTTCACAAACAGCTCTTCAGTTTCAGGAGCTAGTCTAAAGAAATCTTTCTAACCACAGCATTGCATCCCACAAACAGTCTGCAGCAACGGTTTACTTTCTTTTCAAGCTGTTGCTGGCTTGTTCTGGGCAAATCTGAGGAGGAGCAGCTGTCCTTCTATATCTCCCCAGGAGCAACCTAAAAAGTATTTACAAGGCCCAGATTTGATCTATGCAGCCTAATATTACAGAAAAGGTGTTATTTTTATCTGCAGTCCCTTTATATCCAATAAAAATTACCATATCTCCAAGGTTAGATCACCTTGAAGAGACTCTGTTGCATTTAAGAATATTAATTACATATTAATTATAATATAAAACAATCAGAAGATTAGGAAACAGGGTGCCTTCTATTTTGGATAGAAACCTTGTCCCAATGGTATGCTGAATGTTTAAAATTTTGCAGCCAGAAAAACTGGATTCTGGGAGCTTCGCCAATGATGCAAATCAACTAGATTTGGATAGATTCACCATGTGTGATCCTGGGGCTAGGCATGAGTATTGCTTCTATGAAGAATACTAATGCCTGCACCCCTAGTCCCCAAAGCTTGATCAATTCCCCCCACGCACCATATCATCTTCTGAAATGTCACATTGTGTACACACTTCCTCATCTCTCTTCCCAACGTTGGGAGCTAAAGAGCTTTCACTTTTAAATGAACATGAGTATTCTTCTCAGGTTATTAATAAATTGCATTATTATGGTGGTGCTGGTCTGTCGGCCACACAGGTCACTTCAAGGTCCAAGTCAAACTAACAGGTCAGCCTGGCACAACATGCATATTGGTACCTGCCTAGAGCTTAGCAACTTGTTCTGGGTTGGAAAAGCTAACCTTCCTCTTGTTCTTTCCCCACATCCCTTTGCTTGTATGTCTTATCATTATAGTTTATAAGTCTGATGATGTGGCCTGTCTTTTTTTTTTATTAAATTGATGTGAGCTGCTTTGAGAGAAAATATTGTTTGAACAAAATAATCAGATAAATATCTTTAGTAGACCTATTTATTTATTTAAAACATTTCTATGCCGCCCCCATCGCAACAAAGCCTCGGGGCGGCTCACAACAAAATTAAACCTACTGAAATTAAAGATACTTGGGTTAGTCACAAGTCCCATTCATTTCATATGTAGGGTGGAAAATGATCACATGACATAGTGATTAATCTATCATATGTTTACTATTACTTGGGATATCCAGATTCCAAGTAATCCCAAACCACTGACATCTACATACTGGATATCTCAGGGAAGCCTAAAAAGAAATGCAATTGAGTGTAACAAGGAACTCAACTAACGTACATGAACTGAAGCTATATTTTTTTCTGAAAACCAATCAATCAAGCTGTTCTTTCAATTTCATTCTGTCTCCGAGCGGTATCTTATTCTGTAAAAGGAGAAAAACCCAATAACAGCCCAAACACAGACAATTTCCCAGCGATGAAGAAACATCTAATTTTCCTGTAACCGAAGTCCTACCATTGTCAAGTTTTACTGTGCTCAAGTCATCCAGAGATGTCAAGCACACATTTTTAGCAGAATACTTGAAGTAATCTCTTCTACTACAAATCCATTTGCCAGGTGCCTCAGAAAATATATTTCCTCAGTGATCTTTTGAAAGGCTATTTCTTTCTACGCACAACACCCTTATTTTGAGCTACACATTAATCTGCCAACACTAGATTGATTGTGAAAAAATTAGATGTTCAAGTTTGGAGTGTTGGGCTTTGCTTCTTTTTGTCTTAGATATAGGAAACAAAAGATCTAACATGGGTCACTAATTTTATTTTGCAGCAATATAGTCATAGGTTAAAATGTCTTTGAAGCAGCTCATTATGCTATTAATGCATGCTTGGGAAAGGCAAAGCTTTATTTGGGAACATTTTTTCTTTTGCTAGCACTTGCAAATAATAGCCCATTGATTGAGTTCATGTGTCATAATTAAGTTTGGTTTAACTGTCATAGCACAGCTGTAGTATATACAGTATAATGCATAGAATCCAGACTGTTCAGGAAAGTGAACCTCTATCACAAAGCACTCACCTATTCAAACAGCCAAAATACAGATTTCCAAACATTCTTTCATACGGGTGTCTGCATCCTAACTTGTGTTCCTTGCCAAGGAATGAACTGAAGATTCTACAAGTCCTGAAATAATGTTTACCTTTCTCAATCCCTAAGTGAGACATTTTCCAACTTCTCAAGTGAACACAGTCACTTAAAATATCGTATTTTTCTGTGTATAAGACAATACTTTTTCTTAAAAATATTTACCTAAACATGGAGGAGCGTCTTATATTCAGGGGGCCGAGAAGAGAACCGCGGGTGCGCTCGGGCAGGGGGGAGACGGGCGCACTCGGGGGGAGAGGCAGGCGTGTGCGGGGAGGCGGCAGGCGCGCGCATGCAGCAGCAGCTTGCTCACTCACAGATCGGTAAAAGTGGGGGGTGTCCTATACATGAGGGTGTCTTATAGTTAGAAAAATACAGTAGGTTTCTCTAAGACACTCCAGATCCTGAAATCCATGACATTAATGGCACTGATGCAGTTATTTGACAGTGGATGCACAAACAGAATGTCTCATCCAGGCTGTAATAACTTTTATGTTCATAATGCCATCTTCTTCCCCAGTTGGCAGCGCTTGTATTCACAGCTGGAAGAAGGCAGTTCTGTGCAAGCCAAGAATCTTGAGTCCAACAATTATTTTTGCCAAGTGGAGCTGTGTCATTGGTACTTCTGGCAAGGTTATTCTAAAAGCATCACTTCCTCGGAACCAACTGCTGAAGTGGCTTTTGCCTTATATTAAGTGTCCCTTTGGGGGAACATGCTCTTGGAGGGTTGGGTCTGTTGCTCTATTTGCGTGGATAGTTCACTGGGGACAGGAGCAGTGCCACTGCAGAATCGAGGTGCGTGTGGGGGCAGGATGTAGAGCCAGGGGAAGGCTTAACACCCTCCGGTCCTGCCATTTCTCCTCAGCCATTGTCTCCTCCTTCAGTCATCCCCGCTCTCACCCACAACTGCGCTTTGTCCAATCAGGGCCTAAATGGGCAAGAAGCAAGTTTTAGAAGTCGTGGACAGTAAAGGGATTAGAGATACTCTTATTCATACTGATGTTTTCCCGCAAATGCAATTTTGCTCTTCACTCACGTTTGCCATATAATAGTTTCATCCCACTTATATGTTGTTACATTGGAACTGGAAACTTCTCTTCAGGGATGTCCAACGTTTTGCACTCTAGATTCTTTGATCTACAGCTCCCATGATCCCTCACCATAGTCTGTGCTGTGCTAGGGCTGATGGGATTTGTAAGCCAAAACAACACAAGTTCCTCACCTCTAACTGTTTGCCAGATTAGCCAAGATTTTCTTTTAACCCTCCCCCTTGGCTATAATCCTCAGCAAGTGGTTCCTGTATTAGCATACATTTACATAAATATAAATTTAAAGTTGCCTGCAAGTAGCCTGATTAAGAACTAAGATGATCTTCATGTAGAAAACAGTTAAAGTTTTGTTGGGTTAAACTGTTTAACTTCCAAATTTAATTAATCTAACTGAATGTAAGATATTTATATCTTACCTCCTAGTCATGAAAATTCATGGAATGGCTAAGAAATGTAAGATATGAAATCATCAGATAAAGGGTACCATCCATTTCTGCTTGCTGGAGCATTAGGTCTTAGTCGACAGCGGCTGGGGGATGTTGGGAGTTAGAGTCCAGCACATGTGGGGGGGGGGGGGGGGGGGGGGGGGAAGTCTGTCATAAGCTTTAAGGCTGCAAGAAGAACTTGGGAAGAATGAGTGTGAATGAACGAGGGCAGGCAATGCCAGCCATCCTACAAGCAGCTTTGCACAAGCTCCCCTTGCTCCTATTCTCTCAATGATGCCCTGTTGTTATTGCTGTTTTACTGACTGAATAATAGGATCTTCTGAGCACTGTTGCTTGTCACTGGTCCCTGTGTGGGCCAGCCTGTGAGGGCTGCTATCCTGGGAGCTGGCAGACTAACACATCTATTAAATAAAATAAAAGCACAGTTTCTCCCTCAGCTCTTGAAGCCAAAATGAAGTCAAGGCAGCAGCGCAGGGTAATCAGCACTGCTGCCAAACTACCCAGCTCCCACTGATGGAAAGCCTCTTTCCGCACTCTCTCTTCCCTCCAGCGGCACTGAGGGAAGCTGACCAAGAGGGATGGGGAGAAGGGAAATGGGCCCATGGATCACTTGCTGCAGCCCTGAGGAATGTGGCCCTGGCTCCCAATCCTGCTGGGTGGGGAATTTGCCTCCAGCTCTCACCTTCCTTCAGCAATGAGCTACAGGACTCACCCCTTTGTAAGGTTCACCAGCCTGCAGTAGAATTTTTTTAAATAAAGCGTTATTTGACCTTTGCCTCATGTAAACACTGCTAGACTTTTAGGGTGGAAAGCTCTTGCCATAGCAAAACACACCCACACTTACACCCTACTAAGTATTCAGTAGGCTATCAACAATACAGTAAAACGCAACTAGCGGCATGGAGCAAAATACACTGAGTTGTTTACTCTCGACATATCAGCATGAATGTATGCTTTGGCCAACCAAGAATCCATTCAGCCCATTCATCAACAGCCACTCCTTCAGCGGCTCTCCAGACAACTGTACTGTGTTAGGCACCACATACTGTAGCCTTTGAAACATGAAGTGTTCCCATACAATGGTGCGACGAACTAGGGGTAATACTGTGTGAAGAGAGGACTACACCTCCTTGCCTATGGATCCCTCCCAAAACTCCAGAAAAGACTTAGACTATATATAGGGATCAGAGAATTTGTTCTCTCAGCAGTTTCATACCTCTGATAGACCTACACCACTGCTTACACACCTGCGTCTTGTCATCTACGATCTCGATGGGCAAAATGTATTTACAGCAGATTCCCACAGGAAATGGCAATAGCCTTCTCCCACCTGCAGCCTCCAGCAAGCCCTCCCAGATCGGCTTTAGAGGGGGTGCAACTCTCAGAGGGAGAGTTCTTCCTATTTTATTTATTTATTTATTTATTAAAACATTTTTATGCCGCCCCATTCGCCAAAGCCTATCTATGAGGAGATACAGTCTTGGTATTTGTGCAAAATGCGTTCATCACGGCTGGGGCTCATGCTAATGAATACAGTGCAATGTTGAGAACATGCTCAAGCATCGCACCCAGTGCAATTGTGGCAGAAGCAGGAGTTGGAAAAGGGATGCATACAGGGAGGTTTTTTAAGCTTGGTTTTGTTTTACTTTCTTTGATAGTTCACTTAGCAACGTGCAGGTTCCCTAGAGCAACTTGGAAAAGTTATTTGAAAAGGAAAAAAGATAGAGCAGACAGCTGTTCTTGCCCTTCACAAGGCACCATGGAGGAAAAGGGGGAAAGGAGAGCGGGTGGCTGCGATGCTGCTTGCTGGTGTCCTCTGACTTCCTGTGGTGAGGCCAGTGGCACCTGCACCCTCAGTCCTCTCCACCCAGAAGCAATTGCCATTGAGCTCAATGTGCTTTACTTCTGATTTGGCTTGCAAAGATCCTTTCATGAATCTGGCCTCCTCCTGTTTTTCAGATTTCTCCTAACCTTCACTTAAGAAGTGAGCTGAGCTGAGACAACGTCTGCAAACACTCACACTGTGCAACCTGCGACCTTCTGCGGCACATGCAGTACAACCAAGGGCCACGAGACACATGTGCAGAAGAGGGTGCCACCTGTGCAGCTTCATGCATGCTTGCTTCCTGGTGGGAGTCTGTGTGGACACCGGGCACCCTCACCAGGAAGTCAGTCCTATGGCCACTGGAAAGCAGGCTGGTGTCCAGGGAACCAAGCCCAGCAACTCTGATGCATTCCCACCCTTGAAAAAGCTTCTTCACATGCCCCTACTTCTGAATAAGGCTGCTGAAGATGCGGTGATGGGTTCTGAGCAGACGAACATGTTCGGGCATCCAAAGAATTGCTAATTTTATTTTTACAAAGGACAGGGGAGAGGAGGGGGAAGCTACATGACATACATGCTCCATTCACTGAGAGAAGGGGGAAGTAGTAGAGAGACACAGAGAGGGAGAAGTGGGAAAGCGGCTGGAGGGTCTCCTCTGAGTTGTTGCTGTTTGACATTTTCTCTTCTCTCCCAATCCATGGATGCCACTCCTTCTAGCCCCAGAAAATCACAGTAAGTTTGACACACATTGGCGTGTGTGCACGCGCACACACACGCACACACACACGCACACACACAAACACATGGGGAGGGGGAAACACAGTGGGTAAAGAAGTCATGATATCTTCAGAAAAACTCAGCTGGGATGAAAAGTTGGGGTGCATGTAATGAGACACACCACTGAGTCAGGCATTTCAATGCTGACAAATATGCCTAGTGCAGATCAGCACCAAGGCAGTCGATGACATGAAATTATTTAGAGTTGAGAAAACAAACAGGGACTGTGACCAGCTCCAAAAAGTTCTCTCCAGACTGGCAGAATGGCAACTGTAGTTCATTGTAAGCAAGTATAGAATGTTGCACATATGAGCAACGATTCTAAATTCATATATGGCCTGATCAGATCTGACCTAGTGGTGATGACCAAGAAAGAGATCCTGGGGTTGTGGTAGACAAATCAGTGAAAATGTGAACCCAGTGCACAGCTACTGTGAAAAAGACAAATTCCACTATAGGTATAATTAGGAAAGGAGAGTAAAATAAAACTGCCAGGATCATACTCCCAGTATACACAGCTATGGTATGACAGCACGTGGAACATTAAGTACAGCTCTGGTCACAGCACTTGGAAAAGGCACTGCAGACTTGGGAAAGGAGCAGAAAGGGAGAACCAAATAAATAACAGGATCAGGGCTTTTCCCCTGTACAACATTTAGGACTGTGTGCTCAGAAAAAAGGCATGTAAGGGGAAGCATGATTTAGGGCAGTGGTGGCGACTTATGGCACGCATGCCACAGCAGGCAGCAAAACCCTCTCTGTCAGCATGCGAGCCAAGTTGCCGCAGCATCGCCCCAGCAGCCGAGCACTGGATGGCAGCACACATAGGGGCCATGCGCATGCTCGGAAAGGAGTAGTGGTGGCAGGCAATGATGTCACAAGCCACGACTCATTAGCTGAGACTCATCCAAGTTTTCTCCTGGACGGCCAGTGCGATGCCAAGGATATATATATATATCTCCTTGGACTGACTGTGATTTGTTTTTTCTAAACTAAAACCTAAGTTTTCAGATATTTTTTTTTTGTACTGTTAGACTTTTGCAATGAATAAGTGGGATTTGGGTTGCAGTTTGGGCATTCATTCTAAAAAAGGTACACCATCACTGGGTAACGGTTAGAAAAAGGAGGTGTCCTGGCATGGGTTTGATGCTTGGAATGTGTTTAGAATGTGCAGCAATGATGAGCTGTGCAGAAGAAGCTGCTCAAGGGAGGCTTTTTCAAAATCACCCTCTTTTCAATGGAATGTTGACCCTATGTTAGAGTTAGGAGTGTGCACCAGGGGAGGGTTTGGGTTAGAAAAATGAGGTGTCCTGGCATGATTTTGATGGTTGGGATATGATAAGAATGGGCAGAAATGATGAGCTGTGCAGGAAAAGCTACTCAAGGAAAGCGTTTTCAAAATCTCCCCCTTTTCCATGGTATTTTACTCCTATATTAGGGTTTGGAGTGTGAACCAGCGTAGGTGTAGGGTTAGAAAATCTAGGTGTCCTGGAATGATTTTGATGGTTGGGATGTTTTTAGAATGGGCAGAAATGATGAGCTGTGCAGTAAAAGCTACTCAAGGAAGGCTTTTTCAAAATCTCCCTCTTTTCAATGTTATTTTGCCTCTATATTAGGGTTAGGGGAGTGCACCAGTGTAGTATCAGGCCAGTCATGGTGAACCTATGACACACGTTCCACTGCGAAGTAGCGTCACCCCAGCAGCCAAGCTTCGGATAACAACACACATAGGGGCTATGCGCATGCTCGGATAGGAGTAGTTGCTCCAGACGATTACGTCACGAGCCGCAACTCATTAGGCATGACTCCTCCAATCTTTCTCATGGCCAGTCAGTGCAGTGCCAAGGAGATTATTTATATATATATATATATATATATATATATATATATATATAATTTGCTTCAACTGGCTGTGAATTTTTTCTCAATTAAAACCTCAGTGTTCAGGTTTTATTGTAGCGTTGGTACTTTTCGATATATAAGTGGGTTTGCGGGTGCAGTTTGGGCACTCGGTCTCTAAAAGGTTTGCCATCACTGATATAGGGCTCTTTTGCACCCATGTCATGACCTCATTGTATCTTCACAAGGAAATCGCGCATTGGAACCATTTTGTAAAGTAATGACTGAGCCAAAGCATCTTGTTGGTGTAGTTAGAAGTAGGTGGAACTAGAGGTCCAAGGCTGTGTCAAGCTCTGTAGCAATTCTGTAGCTTGAGGGGAAGGGTGAGCCCCCCACCTTCAGCTTTATTTAGGCTCCATAATTCTGCCCTAAAAACTGCCAACAAGGAATAATTGGGTTTTGTTTGCTGGAATGCTAAAAGAGGAGTGGGAAGAGGTCAGATTCAGATCACCTGGTAAAACTCTGTGTGATTTGCAGTATATTAGCAAGAGCTCCTGACTCTCAACTCTATAATCAACAACATGAGTTTTCCTACGTCAATTAGGTTGCTGAAAGGGTAAGAATCTTGGAATAACTAGACATAGATTTTTATGTGAATGCAGGGTGAGCCCCCTTCCATTCTCGTGCCAAAAACAAATTCCTAGGCTCAGGGACACCCTTTTCTAACATGGTTGATATCCACCCAACTTTGTGTGAGGACAGAGCAATTCTTTGCAATTCACCAAAATTTAACTTCAAAACTCCCTATCAGGCATTACAATATCCACTTCTAAATCCTTTGAACTGGATTATCACACCTTCCTCTCCCACCTTTTTGTTCTTGCTTTCAAATTCAATGCCACATTCTAAAAGCTACAGAGTAAACTTCCCCCAAACCCATTCCGAGATGCTTTCCATTTGTTTTCATTATTTTTCAGACATTGCACCAAAGCATAGCTCTAAAACCCCATACGTTTTGCTTGTTTTTCTAGTTACATTTTCCCTTCTTGAGTAGTAGATTTATGAATTTAATTTCTGCTTTATAAAGGTTATCACTTTTAACAACTAGAGGAGAGAGACTCTAAATTGTTTTTATTGCTGCTCGACTCTTCAAGACATCTTGCTCTGCGTTGTCATTTACATTTCACATTAAATGTGAAATACATTCCGAATGAGCAAATATTTGTTTTAATTTGGCCCATCTGTTAAATGAAATACAAACAGGAATGCTACATCACAATATTTAAATCCAGCCATTTGTAAACAATGTATCTGTTCCTTCTGCCTGGGTTAAAAACACCCTAAAGCATAATTCTTATGAAAGCCACAACTTCAAACCTATTATTCTCATGGATGCAAGCCATGATTTCTGTCTTCTGTTCATTAATTTACTTTCTAACCTAAGTTAATTAGCAAGACTCATATTAAAGAGCCGTTTGAAATACAGCACAGAAGCTGCTGAGGAAAAGCACACCAAACCCTTAACTCCAAGCCCGTCAGCACACGAGCTTGAAAACATAAATGGAAAGGTCTTGGCAGTCAAAGAGGTGGTGGGGAGCACTGGAGAGGAGCCAGGAAATGCCTTCTTTTTGCTTCTTCCCATCAAGCCAACTATTTTTTTCAACTGGAGAGGAACAAGGTTACCTAGTAGACTCAGATACTGACAGGCCAAGAGGTAGTTTTGGTCACATGCAGCACATTTAGCATACAGGACCAGCTGGAGATGACAGAGCTCTTAAGGCCCCTCTTTACTGGAAGCAAACAGGCACGTCCTGTTCGGCCGCCAGAATCACAGCATTACATTTTCTGGTTGTGAGGGTGTTTAAAATACTGGCAATACTCTTGCCAGATGGCTATGCTTTGCTTACCATGCAAGAGCTGAGGGACAAAACTGAGGCTATAGTTCAGAATCTGCACCCTGCCCTGTTGAAGAATGCCCATGTCTTGTTTTCTGTGCAAAGGAAGCAAGCGTGGCCCAACAGATGGCAAGATAATGTGCCCCCCCCCCCCAAATGGTACATTCTGGAAGCCCACGGATTAGCTGAAATGGTTCAATTCCACGAAGCGCTCTGCAGTGTCCTTGGGTGAGAAGCAGATGAGAGAGCAGCTTCGCAGGCCATGGGACTTCTGGCCACAGTGGCTGCTACAAACCGAAGCAGTGGAACAGGGGTGGGTAACTTACTCCCCTCCAGACTGGTCTTCTCCAGCCTGGAGCCCCTCCATGTGACAATTCCCACCTGCCTGGGATGGCAACTCCTAAACCAGTACTTCCAATATAGAGATAATACTGACTTACCTTATGATAATTGCTAAGATAATGTATGTTAAGTGTGTTGGAGGTGTTTTATAAATTTTTACTGTAATGATTCTAGCTTATGTTAATAGCAGAAGTATGCTGTTTTTGCTTAGTTTCTGTGCCAAACTGGGTCAGTTTACTGTAGAGCACTATCTGTAATATTATCAAACCTCCTTCCACAACCATGAGGATTGGAAATTTACTTTCAGAATGAAAAAGAGACCCAAAAGCACATTGATAATCTACAAGCTGCTCCTGATCCCTTATTTCTGACACTGTCCACTAGCATGGACAAACACACCAGCTTTTTCCCCTTCCTCTGATCACACACTTTCTTTTTCCTCTGACCATGCAGCATCCCTAGTGCCCATTTACTGTTCAAAACTTATCAGGGCCTCCCCAGTGCAATCTCTTCTGAGCTACAACCAGCACTGACATTGCCTACATCTGCAAAATTCACCCTGTTGACAAGCAACTGGCTGGGCTGCATTGATCATAGCAAAAGCACAATTCAGTAGAAAAGCATAGGTAACAATTATTATTTATTTATGTAGGCATTTAAATTGTTCTCTGTGCACTCTTTACTCATCTCTCACCTCCAAATATCCACCAAGTCCCTCAAAATCAATAAAAAAAGAAGACCCTCTGGCTTGACTGGGTACACATTCATATGCTAGCTGTTTCATTTATTGCAGCGCTCGCAGTTGTATGAAGGAAGCCCACAAAAACGAGGAATTGCAGCAATTGAAGCAGAACATGATGAAAAGCACAGCTAAGAAGCCTCAACAAGCTGCTGTGCCTACATGGATCACAGCCTGGAAAGATTCTCAGGACATTGAGATGACAACTTGATTAGGTTTAGCCTGAAAAATGCAGCTAGACATATCAGAATCAAACATAATTCCCAGGCTAGTAGTCTTTAATATGCTTGCAAGAAAAAGAAAAGAATAGAAAAGAAAGGCAAGAGCATCCATAAGATCACATCACATAGTTATGTAACTCATAGTTATCGAGACTATCCCCCCTCCCCCCAAAAAAGCAGGTTTGAGGTAAGTGGAAAGAAAGGTTGCCATCTTTTTTACCTGGTTTGCCCGACCCGATAGCTTAGCATGGCTTAATTTATATGTGGGAGCAATGTCAATTCCATGCAAACAGAGCAGCAGCTCCAAAAACGCATGTGGGACTGGCTCACTGTAAAACAGATCTTTCTCTGATGCCAAGGAAGTTTCACTTGCTATGGTTTCTGTTAAAGCCACTGGAACAGGGCTAGTAAAAGAAGGTGGCATCCCTAAACACACACTTCAGGATTAGTTTTGGAAAAGACAGACCTGGGCAGCATCTGAATTTTGCAAAACCCAAGATTAAACATACACATCTATTTCTTTAAGAAAACACTTAAGCTTTTAACCAGCATTCTGGCATGTTTCTTCAGAAACAAGTCTCTGCAATCTTGACAGACGTAGGAGTTTACAAAGCATAGGATTTCACTTTCTTGGGACAATTGAACACAATTGGGATTTACATCTAGTTTCACTGCAAGGATGTGCTTTTCAAAGAATCACTGATCCTATTCAGCAAGGCCTGAACATAAAAAAACAAACATATTTTGATTCTTCTGAACTCCATCCCATCCTTCCCCCACTTTGGACTACATAGAACATTTTGGTGGACCAGAAAGCAGAAAACTACTTTCATCTGTCTAAAAATGGGTGCTGGGGGAAGAACAAGATCTTATCAAGCTGCCTGACTACTGAAAGAAAATTGAAATTTAGGCTTGCCTTTCTTAATTTAAGTTATGCAAAATTCTCACATTCTACGAAAGCAGCGCATTTGGTTTTAAAACTGAAGCATTTCAATAAAAAAGGCTCTCTCTAAATAAGCATAGCCATTTGGTTCTGTGCATAAAGAAAAGGGAAATGCAGCTGAAATGAAAACCATTCCTCTCAAATATACATTTTGAGGGCACTAATGCTTACTTTAATATCACCACTACACAGGTTTCATACAATTTATGTGAGCCACTTGCTTTCTGCTAAGCAGAATTATTTCCATAATGAACAGGGAATGGCGGCATGCTAAGGATTCAAAAACTATGGAATTCTTCCTGTCATTTCTTCTTGAGCCAATCTTAACATGGGCATTCATCTCTCCCTGTAGCTGAGCTGCACAGTACAATTTCCTTCTGCACCAGCACTAGCACCCCTCCCCCACACACACACCAATCTCCTGTCATCCCAGTATGATCTTACCTAGGAAGATAATCGTCTGTTTCCTAGGACTTCTGCCTTCAAGGTTCTCAGTTTTCCTCAGATATTGATGGTGGCTTTCTCTCTCCCCTCTCACTGCCAAGGTACCTTGGTTGTGGATTGTTAGGGCTTTCATCATTTTCCGGCACATGAAAGCCACGGATACCAAGATCACAATATACACAATGAAGGCAGTGAAGATGCTCGACTGGTAGACTTTCCATTTGGAAGCCAAGCTGGTGCACACGGTCACGTTGAACCTGAAGTCAGGCAAATGGTGCCGTGCCTTGGATCTGCTGCAGGAGACCAGCCCTCGATGGCCCTGGATGGTTTCCAGGGGGTACTCTGTGCCCATTGCAAAGAGCAGTGGCAGAGCCACCACTACAGACGTCAGCCAAACAAAAGCGATGAGGATTTTCACTTTGCAGCGCCTAGAAGCAGCTTTGAACTTGAACGGGTGGCAGATGGCAATGTATCTTTCGAAGCTCAGGGTGGCCACGTGCAGCACCGTAGCATAGCTGCAGGCTTCAAAGAGGAAGCAGTACAGCTTGCAAGCCAGGTCGCCTTTCGGGGTCGAGAAAGGGTTCCATATCACGCTGAAGAACTCGACGGGCATCCCCAGCAAGATGACCAACAGATCCGAGCATGCCAGACTCACCATGTGGTCTGCAACTTCTTTCTGCAAGTAGGCTTTCTTCTGCAACACCTTGGTAGTGTGGATAGTGAGACTATTGCCCAAGATACCTGCCACAAAGATGACGGTGTACAGAAACGCAAGGGTGATCTTGATCCATTGAGCTACTTCAAATTCCTTAACGTGGCTGTCATCAATTATATCCCAACAATCCAGCTGAACATCTTCTGTCGCCATGAGCAGAACTAATTACAGAAATAAGGAGCGGGGGGGGGGGGGGGGGGAGGAAGTCAGAACATGTAATTGTTCCAGTCACTTTGCAATGCATTTAGCCCACCCTTGTTCCTGCCAAATTTGAGGGGGCTCAGTTCAATGTAATTGTGTCTAGGACTGCAGATCCCACAATACTGTCTCACATACACACCAGTAGAAAGAGCCACTTTTCCATTTTGCCTGAATCAGCACCAACCCCATCAAATTAGTAGAGTGAGGAAGGGAGGGAAGGGGAGAGGAGCTCTTCACCTTTTTTTTAGATCTGGAAAGAAAGTTGTTTCCTTCTTCCTGTTTAGTTCTCGGTCCTTGTTTCTCAGTTCGTCCTCTAGAATGTCTCCAAATCTCTCTAATGGAAAGCTAAACCCCTCAGCTTCCTCTATGGTCTGGCCGTCTCAGCCACTTCTAGCATGTTTCCTGTGGTGAAAGGCAACTAGTTTCATAAAACATTAACTTGTGGCTGAGCTCCAGAAGGGATGTGGTCAGTGATTGAGATGATAAGGCTATAGAAAAGGAATGAGGCAGCCCTTGGCTAATATAAGCTGGCAGGGTTCCCTTCCTCTTCCTGGCTACTTCTTAGAACTGTTACGTGAAACCTGAAAGAAAGGTGTGGCTATTGTAGAAGGAAGCTGCGTGCTTTACTCAGCGCAATGTTTGATTTAGCCCTCCTCCTCCTTGTTGTCTGTTTCAGGTGTGGGAAAAAAGTGCTACCAGTTTTCTTCAGCAATGGGTTTAAATTTGCTTCTCTTTTCTGCAGGAACAATTACATATTTATTCTCAGTTAGTAGCAGAGAGAAAGAAAAGAGGAACACTTCAAATCTCAGGTGGGACATAACCCTGTTCAAAATGTGGGGCTGGATGAAAAAAAAAAAACTTATGGGGCAATGACTGGTGATTGCTATGTGTCATATTTTGGTGTTTGAAGTTGCAACATCTTCGTGATGTTGCAAAGAAATCAACCAATGAAGCTTCCCACAGTACACCGATGCAGTCAGTGGGAACTGTCATATGCCTGTGGCACAGTTCTCAAAGGCAAAAAGCTAAATCGGGAAAAAGTGGGAGATCCTACACGTCATTATAATGCTAACATTATAGGGGAGAGGAAGCAGCTACTGCACAGTATGGAGGCTCTGTCCCTTTAAACCGCCCCCTTGAATTCTCCCAGTAAGTCTTCTCACATGCCTACCATCAAGGATCATTAGCCTGGTGAACTGAGGGAACAGGGTCTTTTCTGGGGGAGCCCAGCACCTGCGGGACCTGCTTTCGCCAGAGGTTTGTGCGCAGGTTGACCCTGAAGGCCTATTTGACTTGTTTGGCCTTTCCACATCTGTAGGCTGCAGGTTTTTATTGACAGTACCTGTTCCTACAGTATTTTCCAGTTTATACATTTACTGCTTATTTGCATAATTTTGTACTTTCTAATCTGCACATCATTTTGAGAAAGTTCTATCCTTAAAGCCTAAAATAATGCTGAATGAATAAATGAATGCAGTGGAGGTTAGTGGTACATACCCTCTGAGTTTCACTGTGCATTTTTAGGAAGCAATCAGTGGTGCTGAAGCAGAGCTCAGGGGGGCATTCATGGCCCCATTGACCCTGGAGCCACCATCCTCCACAGAATTAATAAATCGATAAATATTAGGTGTCGTAATGGTAGTTGCGACTACATCTGTTCAGGTTTCAAGCTAATTCTTCTGCTTACCTCCAGTACCTTCCCTTTTGTCTGTACAGATTGTAAGGGCCTTGTAACTGGGCATACTCCCACCCCTACACCGATGGCAGACCAGGAGATGGCCTTGGCGGGAGTCACGGGTGTTGCTGCTGCTGCGACAGCTGCAATATGTTCGCCCTTCTCCCCCAGGAGAGGCAGGGATACACTTGCCCTCGGTGCAAGATGGTGACCCTGCTAGAAGAGGAGGTGAGGTGCCTGAGGGCTGAGAGAGCTCTCCAGGCCCCCCCGGAGCAGTCCCCCTCTGGACAGAGGGTTGAGGGAGAGACCACGGGAGGAGCAGCTGCGAAGACATGGAGGTATGTCACCCACAGGAGGAGGAGGCCAGCACGGCCTCCTCCTTCTCCTGGCACCAATCTGGAGCTGGGAAACAGGTTCTCTCCACTTGGGGAGGCTGGGGCTGATGAGGCCTCGGGGGACCAGCAGGACCCCAGCCTGGGATGTCAGACAGCAAGGGGGCTGCTGCAGGAGAGGCGAGGGCCAGGGCACGGCCGCCCACCAGCACCGGGAAGGTACGGCGGTGGGTGATTGTTGTTGGGGACTCCCTGCTGAGGGGCACTGAGGCGGCAGTGTGCTGCCCCAACCTGGAGACAAGGGAGGTTTGCTGCCTGCTGGGCACACGCATCCGGCATGTGAAGGACAGAGTGGAGCGTCTTGTTCGCTCTGGGGTCACCAGTCGCTCCTGGTGATCCATGTGGGCACAAACGATGTGGCCAGGCAGGGTGTGGTTGGGACCACCAGGGACTTTGAGGCCTTGGGGAAGAAACTCAGGGAGCTGAAGGCCCAAGTGACCTTCTCATCAATCTTACCTGTCCGAGGATTTGGGCCAGGACGGGACAGGAGGGCCTCCAAGGTGAACAACTGGCTTAGGGTGTGGTGCCAGAAGGAACGCTTCGGGTTCCTCGACCACAGCACTTGTTTTCTTGCCAATGAACTTCTGGCAAGGGACGGGTTACACCTCACGAGGAGGGGGGAAAGGTCCTTTGGAGATGCTCTAGCAAGTTTCATCTGGAAGACTTTAAACTGAGCCGGGGGGGGGGGGTTCAGGCCCCCCAGTAACATGTCTGCACTGGACAAGTGTGGGGGGAGGATCAGGGCTCTGGGAGCAGGGTTTTAGAGATACTGCAGGGACTGACAGGACTCCTACGGAGAGGGGCCAGGTATCAGGGAGGATGGGAGGAAGGAGGAGGCTGGGAACTCCAAGGAAGAGAAGCGGTGGGAAGGAGTTGAGGTGCATGTACAGCAATGCTAGGAGCATGGGTAATAAGCAGGAAGAGCTTGAAGCTCTCCTGGGAATAGGAGGGTATGATCTGGTTGGAATCACAGAAACTTGGTGGGATGAAAGGCAAGTCTGGAATGTGAACATAGAAGGGTATCACCTTTTTAGAAAGCACAGGAAGGGAAAGAGAGGTGGGGGCATGGCTTTATACATCAGGGAAGGAATAGGATGCAGTGAGATAGAATGCAGCACAGATGGGGATTTGGTAGAGGCAGTCTGGGTGAAACTTAGGGCTTTTGACAGGGAAAGAGACCTGACAGTGGGGGTATGTTATCACCCTCCAGGTCAACTTGAGACCCTGGATGATGTCCTGACAGGCCAGATTCTAAGGATATCTCGGGAGAGAGACACAGTAATTATGGGAGATTTCAGTCTCCCGGATATTATTTGGGAGACTCACTCGGCGGTGACAGCCAGGTCACGTCGCTTCCTAGAAGCTATAGAGGGAGGGTTTTTCACACAGAGGGTCCGAGAGGCTTGGTCTTGACCAATAGGGAGGAGCTGAGGTGAAGTACAGATTAGGGGAGCTCTGGATGTGAGTGATCACACCATCCTTTGCTTTGAGATCAAGGGACTGCGGACGGGCAGCAGGTCGAGCACTAGAAGCAGAGACTTCAAGAGGGCCAACTTCGGCCAACTGAAGGCCAGACTGGGGAAAGTCTCCTGGGATAGGTTACTGGAAGGTAAGCGAGTTGAGGAGGGGTGGATAGCACTCAAAAGGGAGGTTTTGGAGGCGCAAGCCTTGATGATACCTCTAGTCAGTAAGGTGGGGAGGCGGAGGAGAGTGCCGCCATGGATGCAAAAGGAGGTGGTTAGAGGGATTAGATGAAAGAGGAACTTCCGTAGGAAATGGGTACTGGGGGAAATAGACAAAAGGGTGTACCGGGAGGAGGAGGCCCGTTGCAGAAGGATTCTTCGCAAGGCTAAGGCTAATTACGAGCTAAGACTTGCCAAGAATATCAAGAGCAACAAAAAGGGGTTCTTTCAGCATGTAAATAGGAAGGGGAGATAAGTGGTGGGACCACTAAATAAGGAGGAAGGAGATCCAGTGACTGATATGAGGGAACAGGCACAGATGCTAAATGACTATGTGTTCTCCCCAAAGCAGGACGGGGGATATCCGCATAGGAGATTAGATGAGGCTGGGGACTTAGGGACACAGATTAAAGTCGCCCCCCTTGAAGTCGAGGGGCTCCTCAGGGCATTGGACATTACAAAGGTCCCAGGCCCTGACGGGTTACACCCAAGAGAGAGTTGGCAGGGGCTCTCTCACGCCCGCTGGACTCCATTTTTGAGACCTCGTGGAGAACGGGTGAAGTTCCAGAGGACTGAAGGGTGGCATCAGTGGTCCCAATTTTCAAAAAGGGTAGTAGAAAGGACATGGGGAATTATAGACCGGTTAACCTTATGTCCATTGTAGGAAAAACAATGGAAAGGCTCATAATAGAGAGAGATCTAGTGATGCTAGATAGGGAAGGGTGGCTGACAGCCACACAACATGGCTTCCACAAAAACAGGTCCTGCCAGACAAACCTTGTGGAATTCTATGACAAGGTTTCGAGATGGCTAGATGGAGGGGATGCAGTGGATGTGGTATACCTGGATTTCAGCAAGGCCTTTGATAAAGTGCCCCATGATATCGTAGTGGAGAAACTGAGGAGTTTTGGGATACACCAAAGCACTGTCCAGTGGATTAGGGCATGGTTGACTGACCGAAAGCAGAAGGTAACCATTAGTGGGGAATCATTGGGATGGCGGCCAGTGACAAGCAGGGTCCCCCAGGGCTCTGTCCTGGGGCTGATCCTGTTTAATCTTTTCATTAACAACATGGAAGAAGGGGTGAACAGTCTGCTGATCAAATTCGCAGATGACACTAAAACTGGAGCAGTGGCCACAACTGAAGAGCAGGTACTCCAGATCCAAAAGTCTCTGGACAGACTATGGAAGAGGGCTGGGGACAACAGGATGGCGTTTAATGTGGATAAGTGCACGGTCTTGCACTTGGGGCATAGGAATAGCTGTCATAAGTACAGGTTAGGTGACAAGTGGCTGGAGAGCAGCACTTGTGAAAGGGACCTTGGGGTGCTGGTTGACTGCAGGCTAAACATGAGTCAGCAGTGTGATGCGGTGGTCAAGAGGGCGAACGCCACCCTTGGTTGCATAGCCAGAAGTGTGGCTTCTAGATCAAGAGAGGTATTACTACCACTCTACACGACTCTGGTGCGCCCGCAACTGGAGTATTGTGTTCAGTTTTGGGCCCCTCATTACAGAAAGGATATATCCAGGTTGGAGTCAGTGCAGCGTAGGGCCACAAGGTTGGTGGCTGGTTTGCAGGGGATGCCGTATGAGGCGAGACTGAGGGAACTGGGTCTCTTCAG